ACCGATGAGTCATTCACTAGTCAATAAACCGCATCCTAATATGAGAATTTGTACCAAATTCATGTACTTGTACAAGTTGTAATTTGATGTTTACATGCATATAATAGTTTTTACATTGTTCATAAGCATTGTCACGTGCAATTCTCCTTGCCCAAACCCTATCTTTTTTATTCTTTTTTTTTTTTTTTAATTTGGAAGGATGGGATTTGAAAAGTAGGAAGAGAAAAAGGGAGATTTGAATACAAAATCTCTAAATTTTAGGATCTCAACTTAAACCACTAAATTAAAACCCCAAACCCTACCTTATGTTCATCGATTCAATTGCCTTTGAGGTAAATGTAAATTTAAGTACTCTCACATTATGCTTACTTTAGGCTTTCAGTTCTTTTTTTTTTTTTTTTTTTTTTTTTTCAAGTTTATTCCAAGTTAATCCACCATGTTTTACGCATTCAACAATTCAAGTTTTTGTCCAACTAAAAAATTTCTCTCTCCTGTTCTCCAATTTCTTTTTTTTTTCCTCTTCTCAAAAAGTCTTCCTCTTAGGGAGAGAAACTATTCTCCAATCGATTCCATTTTCACTTTGTTTTCTATGATAAAGTCTCTTCTAAGATTTCCTAGTAAGAATTTTCTATTTCTCATATGGATTCCGAATGAAAATTTTCTACTCTCCTAGGAGTTCGGAGTGAGATTATTGTGTAGTTTTTTTATTTTATTATTAGATTTGAATTTATTTTAGATTTGGTTTATTGATTTTTTTTGGATCTTGGGTCTGTCTTGAAAAATTTCATTATCATTATTGGATTTAAAATAGTTGATGAGCAAATGTAATGATTGAAACATGCATAGAAGAAAGGTGCAACGATTTATCTTATAAGATAACATTTCAAAATTCTTTGTATTGTTCAAATTTATTTGTAATTTTTTAGATCTTTGTATCTATTAAATTACAAATTTGTTATTTCTAGTCCATGTTTGTCTTGATATTAGTCTAAATGTCTGTGAAAAAAATCAAATCGTGCTAGATAATTTTCAGTAATTTTTCTAATGAAATTTGCTTTTTATCAAAAGAAAGAAAAAAAGAAATTTAATCCACCAAGTCATAGTGTTTTTCTCTTTTGATAAAACAATAGCCAATATTATTAATGAATTAGTTGAAAATCATCCAACACGATTTGTTTGACTAAAAAAGCTGCACTAATAGCAAAATATACATCAAATATGTCACAGATATATTTAATCTGAAAAATCATTAGATTTATCAGAGTTACAAAATAAGAAAGATTACCTTATGAGTGACAAACCATCAAATTTGACTAATTCTACAACCTGCTCTATAAATATTTGTGTATGTCTATTCCATTAGATCTACTGTCCAACCGGTTCAATTTCAAAACTAATATTAAGATCTAACAAGAGGACACAAAGAATTTCAGATCTTACATATGGATCTAAAAAAACTCTTAGATTAATAATATTGTTATCGCGCTTGCTGCGGACATCATCTCAGATTAATAATATTTTTGTCACTTTCTATCAAAAAAAAAAAAGTCTTAGATTTGAAAAAAATAATAAAAATCTAAATAAATCTCCCACCAAAATAACCTAGAAAAGAAGAAAAAAAACTCTCATTAGTAAATAGTAAATATTAGGAGAGAGAAAACTTTCACTTTATTGATGATTGTAAATAGTAAATACTAGGAGAGAGAAAACTTTCACTTTATTGATGATACATCTGATATATACGACCCTTGGGAGAACATGTTTACCTCTCCACTGTGTGACAAGAGTCACCACTACGGTCATAAAAATTTCGTTTGTAATGTCTATTTTGAAAAATATTTGAATATTATAATATTTTTACCCTTGTCCTTGCTCTTCATATTTTTTAAATTACAAAGATGTGATACACCTTAGGTAGATAAAATCTGGAGCCGGTTCTTCCTACCAATCCAGCCTCCCCCAATTATATGTTCACTAAACTAATTAGTTTTAAGTTTCTTCTCATGCTGACTTCGAATTTTGTGTTGCATATGCACTTATACATTGGCATTGCCTAAATATGAGCGATTTTATTTATTATATTTCATGTGATGCCAATCCAGAAGACATTTGAGTGTGAAAGATCCATAATTAATAATACCATATTAGTTGCTTTCCTAATCGTGCACGTGAGAAAGGGGTAGGAGACAAATAATAACCAAATTTCTAACTATGATTAGCCTAATCACTTAATGGTTAGTTTGGACTTTGTCCACGCAAAAAAAAAAAAAAAAGAAACCAAGAAATATGATTTTAAAAAAATTGCTACCTTCTAGCTGGCTAAACAACTTGCAGGGTAACATGTGAAATGAACCCTTTGATATTTAACCTTTAGCAATTACCGGCGAATTTCTAAGAATATTGTTAAAATAAAAAACTATCATAAAATTGGTGAGCTTTGAGAGTCTGTTCCGATTTTAAGGGAGCTGCATTTACGGTATGAGGCAACTAATAAAATTAGAATTAATTTTTAAAATTTTTGATTGCATTAGTTTTCTATAATTTCTACCGCTTTTTTTCCCCAAGCTTTCACTGCTCGTCTCCCGACACCGACATGGACATGATAGGACGGATAGGACGGACATGACAGCTACAACTAAAATGTACAAATTTCGTCAATCTTCTTTCTGATTTAAGCTTGGTGGCATTCAGTTTTAAAAAAAAAAAAAAAAATTTTCCTGACACCACAAATTTTGCGGCGTCAACTTTTTTTTTCCCCTAATTTGTAGTGTCAATTTTTTTTCCTGACGCCACAAATTTGATTTGCGGCGTCAATTTTTTTTTTTGAAACTCTCGTTTTATTATCAATTAAGTTTATATGCTAATTATTACATTCTATAAATATTGTTTAATGTTACATTATTTATCATTATTCAAGTTAGCATTAACATTAAAAATTTAAAAACTATAACTTAGGCAAATTTTAGAGTGTTTTTAATAGCATTGATTATCATCTAAATTTATAAAATTAACATAATTCTAATATTGTATATTAAATTTTTGACAATTCTGATTTATAATAGGATTTTAGTAATACGAATTAGGGATTTTGATTTTAAAATTAGCGTTAAAGGGTTCATGTTTATATTAAGGGTTACACTGTGTGGGTTTGGAAATTAGGGTTTCATATTAGGTAAAATGTTAAACCCTAAACGCTTATTAAGCCTAATTTATTATTATTTAAGTTTCTATACATATTATTACATTCCATAAATATTGTTCAATGCTACATTATTTATCATTAATTAAATTAACATTAGAGTTAAAAAAATTTAAAAATATGACTTAAGCAAATTTTATTAGTAATTTAATAGCATACTTAATTATCATCTAAATTTATAAAATTACCATTATTCTAATATCATATATTAAATTTTGGACAATTCTAGTTTATAGTAGAATTTTAGTAATACGATCTAAGAGTTTTAATTTTAAAATTAGGGTTACAGAGTTACACTGTGATGGTTTGGAAATTAGGATTTCATGTAAAATGTTAAACCCTAAATCCTAATTAAGCCTAATTAAGGTTACGTTCTACGGGGAAAAAAAAACTTCGTCGCAGTTACCTTTTATTAAAGTTACGTCTTATTAAAAAGGAAAAAAAAGAGAATATATCGCCACTCATCTCGTGAGCGGCGATGCATAAAAGACAAAATAAAATGAGCAGCGATCAAATGTTCCAATTCCTTTGCCGCTGCCGCTCATTTCATGAGCGGCGAAGCCTTTACGAAAATTAAAAAAAATACAAAACTAAAGCAACCCAAAATAAATGAAAATTAAAAGTATTTTTATTAGAAACCTCACATCTCAGATGTGGCGACCTCTTATTCCGAGACCCGCCCTCAAACAACAACAATTTTCTGACAATTTTTAATTTTGACGATATTCCAAGAAATTTGCCGCAATTACCATATTTAATTTGAGATGTATATAGTCTTGTTTTAATTTTTTTTTTTTAATGGTGATTGATCTCAACTCATAAATATAAGAGGATGTAGCCAGCGTTTTGATTCAACTCCACACACACACACAGATGCATATACTTGCACTCTATTAAATGTGGGAGTGTCTGAATCAGGTGAGTTAGATTTTTTGATATGTTTTGGAGGAATCAGAAAATTTACTTGGAGGAGATGAATGCTGACATACCTAAACCTAATGTATCTAACATAAAAACAAATTTTCAGGTTTTTACAAGGGCAAAAGTTTACATTTTTTACCAAGTTCAAAGACTTTTGTAAGTTAGTATTCAACCCTTAATCCACAGCAAAAGTTTACATTGATAAGAATTATATTTAAAAATCTAGAATATTTTAAAACTTAGGGGTAGTGCCCCCTACGACCAATTTTTTTTCCTTTTTTTGGTAAGTAACAGCTAGATTTTGAATGTCTTTTCATAGCTATATATTAACAAATATATATTATGAGCGTTGGATGAATGACAAATATGTAAAATTTGAATGTAAAATTCAACTTTTGCATATATGTCATGGATCCAATGATGATAGCGTATACACTATCAATGTATATAAAATTTACTCTTGTGTAAATACTGTTGAAAGACTACAATATGTAATTAACAAAATTTCAAGGATTCAAATTTCAAAAGTTAATAGCTAGCATTACGCTTTAATTAAAACAATGAACCGTAAAAATAATTTATCCTGCCAAATTTTTAAAGATTAATTTTTCATACATTATCAATGTGAAAAAAGAAAAAAAAAAACATCTGACAAGTGCACATAGATGCATGCCACATAAGTTCTATAGAAATTTGAAATTTATGTTCTACATATATGCCTCTAATGGTGTAAAAAAAAATTTTACACTGACAGCGTGTCAAAGATTAATTCATTGGCATTGTCGAATAGTATTTTGAACGCCAAGGAATGAGCGTCCAAACGCCAAGAAAATGAGCTTCCAAAACGATGATGGTACTCCCTAATGGCAAGTTGTTTATGTGCTGAGTGTTGATTGGCTTTTGGCATTGTAAAATTCCGCAATATAGTTAGCACTCGCGCATCATTCATGAGAGATTGTTTGTTCAAATGAAAGTTAGAACTAAAAATTTGGGAAAGAAAAAGTTTTCCACAAGCACGAGACTACCCATACAAGAATTCTGAAACTTTAATACTACAAAATATTCTATTTCCCCAGTTTGAGAAACTAAAACGCCTGACCCTGATTGATTCCTTGATGCTCATTTCTCATAGAATGCCTTCATTTGCCTTGAAAAACGAAATAACAGTTCCATTTATATTCTGTCCCTCATTTGGTCCTGATTTCCCGGTTCCATCAGCTTGTGTATCCCTTGAAACTGGTTGTCTATATGGAAAGGGAAAAAGTATGGCCATCACCACATACCAAATCAGATTTGCAGTACTCAGGCCTGCAAGCACCCAATAATAGTAATCCAACCGACTGTTATTCAAGTCATGCTGAAACCAGCTCGTTTTACCCCCTTTCTTGCTGATCTCACCCACGACATACACTGATAAAACACTTCCAATGATTCCCAGACCAGATAATCCAGGACTGAGATAGATGAGGTACCTTTTCATCGATGGAGGACTTTGATCATTCAAGAATGGGGTAACACTATTCTCATAAAATGAGTCCATCCCGCCCAGAAGAAGAAATTGAGGAACAAGAATGAAGACAGTCATGGGGATTTCCTCGTCAGGCTTGTCGGATAAACCATGATTTCTTATCACATGTATCCTTTGAGTTTCGACTATGGCAGCGATTACGCAGCTCAATGCTGAGAATATTGTGGCTAATGCGATACCAAATGCGGGTGCATACTTTTTTCTGCCTGCTCTTTCTAAGCAGTTTGAGACACAGTCGTACACCCATTTAAAAAATTTCTTTGCTGCTGCATACAGCATCAGAAGGATTGAATCAGGGAACTTCAATATTCCGACCTTGTAATTCATGTGGTTTGCTTGCTCCACGAAGTATGTGTTTCCAATGGAAGTTACTACCCCACAAATTATGCATGTGATCCAAATTGGAAGCATGCGAATTAGGACTTGTCTCTCTTCACTTTGAGTCCTCAATCTGATGACAGCCCTATCAAGAGAACCTAACCAAAGAATTAGAAGAATGAATAATAAAAAACAGCAGCAAATAGTGGGAATTACCTGTTCCATGATCTGTTAATCCAGAACAAAGACGTGTATTTACATTTGGAGTACTTGAACCTAGAGCATATAGCAGTGGACAATGTAAGACTATGGGTGACTAAGGGTGAGAGATGAATTAAACTACCTGATACTCCAATCAAGTTTGGCTGGCTAAAAATGCCAGTTCAAAGTAAATTCATTTGTCAATTCATTAAACAAAGCCTGATAAAGAACTAGTGTTGGTTAATATTTTAAGCTAGTCTCAAATTTGGATGGATTAAACAAAACTTTACATTTGCATACCGTTAATCGAGCTTCTTGAGCTGGGCTACTCAAAAGCTCATTTTAGCATAGCCCAAATCTCGATCAATTCAAACTGGAAACACCATTTCAATATCGTTAAAGATTTCAAACAATCATGAAAAGTAGGTATTGACTCCTATCACTCCTATGTGATTCAAAAGCAGATAATTTGATAGTGAAGGCAGACTTATTAACAATACATGATCATTAATAATGAAATCGTATTTAGATTGTCACGGTCATTTCAACGGAGTATGATGTTGCTTGTGAAGGAATTTGTATAGCTATGGATAACTGTCTTTAACAAGAACTGGTTACTCTGTCCCAAACAACTCGAAAACAGAACAAGAAGAAAGGAAACATGAAGATGCAAGAGTATGCATCACGAACCCGAGTTTACTGTCCTCGTATTTATGTGCACAAAGCGAGAATGCAAGTGTTGCCACCAAGGTGCAGATAGCTGGAATTCCAAACCGGAGTTTCCATGGCTTTATATATGGAAGACCAATAAGTACTCCAGCAGCAACAATGAGTACGAACATAATGCCCCACACTCTCCAGTCTTTAATGGTGCCTCCGTTTCTTTCTTTCTGACTGTTAACAAGTTTTAACATTGCTTCTAGTGGTTGAAATTGAAGTTTTGATAAATTCTCTTCAAGAGTGTTAGTTGGCTGCTGCCTTCTGTATTCAGTAACTGATGCGGGTGGGACTAATGCTGTGCTAGAATCAGCGTCAGTTTTTCCCTGATTCAGTATCATCTGAGCGAGCCTAACTGGATGCCCTATAAGATTTTGAGGCCTATCATAATTAGCATTATCATCAACTGGCTTCCTTTGGAGCTGATCCAAGGCAAATGCTACCAATGAGACGATGTGCCCACTTACTCCAACAGCTGTCAGCACCAGACCTGTGTAAAGAAGGGCCTTCTGTGTGTGACCAATGCAATTAGGCTGATAATCACTACAGGTATGCGTTAACTTATGCAGTACTGGAGGTGTAGACATTGACAGAAACCCCAAGCCCTGCTCGCAAGGGCGGATTGTCAATTTAAGCAAGTCAATTAAACTGAAAATTTCACTTAGACGGTACAGATTGATGTCAAAATAGATGAAGGGGAGGAGGAACTGAGACAGAATTCTCCAACGGAAGAACTTACAGTGGAAAAGGCTATACTTGAGACCAGCAGAATCCAGAAATTATCCATCCCACAGTCCACGAATAAGAAAAGAAATAGAGGGACAGTTTTACTGAGGCCAGTGTATACGTTCATTATTCCAGCAGCACGAGTAAACCCAACATCCCAAACATCTGTCAAGTACTTCTGCATAATCCACGTTACATATGTTGCCAACATATCAGCCCAGATCAGAACTGCCCACCATAGAAAGAAATCAGAGCTGGTACTTTTAGCAGAAAAAAGACTATTTACCCAGAGAATGTCAAGTAAATGGAAGATATTTGATGAATCTGAAAATGAGAAAAAGTACCCATTATTCTGACAAACGCCATTCTCTTTTAGACCTTACGGATCACCCTGCAGTTCTGCAGTCCAGAGTATGAGAGAAACAGCATTAGGACGATGGAAAATCAAGCCGAAGACTACAAAAATTTCCAAAACCATATGAATCAGAGTTTAGACTTTAGTTTTCCTTTACCTCTAGTTGCTATACTGGGCGGCCTAAGAGGGGGGAAACCAGTTTGAGGAACTTTTCTGCAAGAATCACGAGTGTTGATTCAGTAGTCAACTTGTGTATTAGCAATAGTTGATACCTTTCTCTGCTTCTCATCACTACCTGCAAGGTTCATTTTATTTGAATAAATATTGGAGTCCAAAGAGTGCATGGGGATGGCATTTGATCAGATTAAAAGTCGAGTATTTTTTGCTATTGCGTTGATTTTACACTTGCGCCTAAACTTGGGCCACAAAGATAACAAAGCCTGTGAAAAGATGTACGTCAAAGATAAAGATAATTTGATATTACTAATTCCAAGTAAACTTGTAGCGTTTGATCCAAGGCCCAAATGCTTGAGAAGATCCTGCCACTGCGCCTAAGGGATGTGTTACACCAGTTTTTCAATTTTGTTGCAAGTGCAGAGATTTAAACTCCTAATATGCAGCTAAACCTACAACTTATGCTTCACGTGATAAATTAGCACTAATCTTTTTTCGAGTTTATCTTGATCTTCTGGATATTGTAAACTTTGTTGGCGACAGATATTTATGAGTACTTCTCTTCTTATAATTATGTTGTAGTCAAGGGATTAGGCGGGCTAATCCTTCCCTATCTTCCGCCCCATTCAGAGTTATGAAGAAATTGCATATTGATTTGGGGTACCTACTTGCCATGCCTAGTAATTGATCCTTAATCGAGGACCAATGGAAAAGTTTCACGTGATATAAAAATCCCACTTGCTAATTCACATGCTAAGTGAATTTCACTTGACATGTTAAATGAACCAAGCGAGACCTTTCTATTGGTTTTGAAATAACTACTAAACCTGTCAAATAAGCCGATATAAAATTTTCTAGAGTGATGGGAAAAATCTCCCCTCACCTCGCATTCCCCCCCCCCCCCCCCCCTGGCTCTCCTTGCAAGATGAGGCGTCAGGGATCTAGTGGGGGATGGGGAGAGCCTGCTGCCCCCTCAAAATTTGAAAAATTCTTTTATAGCTATTTGTCTTAATCAAACCTTGTACTTATATTTTAATAGAAATTAGATTTTGCCCCAAACTTTAATAGATCCTCCAACAATTTCTCAAAAACTTTAACATTTTTCAAGTAAATATTAGAGTTTACCCCCAAAATTTTTAAAATGTATAAGAATACCTTCTTCAATGCACATCTTTAAAGATCTTGCCCCTTCAAACCTTAATGTCTAGTCCCGCTACTGGTCCCGTCACTATATAACAACTAGTTAAGCCCTTCTGATAATTATCCCATAAAAATCGCAGAAATTTTTTTAAGTGTTTTTAGTTCAAAATTTTCCTTACATACAAACATGATAATTAAGGGCCAAATCCAACTTAAGGAACAAAAAAAAAAAAAAAAAACATAACAAACATAAAAGTGCTTGCTAACTTTCAATGGCAACAACGATCACTTCCACTGCTTTTTCGTGAACCAATGTGAATGGCGTAAAAATAAGATGTTGAAGGTTTGTGTCTCGTGTGAACACCAATTAAAAAAAATGTTTAAAGAGTTTGTAAGGTCAAAATATTTAGCAATTCGTATGAATTATTTTTTATTATCTTCTGAATATTAGCAAAAAAAAAAAAACAAAAAGGTAAGTTCCTATCTTCCCTCTTCTTTACTGTCTTTAATAAGGGTAAAAGTTATGTTTACACAGTTGAAGAACATGTACACACTTGCCACTTGTGTGAAAATCAGAATATATAACAGCCGATTTTCAAAAGAACTATTATAATAAAAATAAATATCAATATGAAATTCTTCTTTAAATGAAGAAAGAGCAGATGTACGCACAGTCTCTGGCTTCTGTAAACACATATATTTAGAAATATAAATCGATAACAAGTTGGGATCACTATTCACCCCTTTTGAAAATCTTACAATCGTCCACATATTTGAAAGATTGAAAGTGTATTTCAAGATCATGTGGCTGTATTTGGATTGAGAGATTTGACGAATGATTTGAAATATTTTGAAATCCCTTTAGCTCATACGGCTGATTCGACAGGTATTTGGATTTGTAATCTACTAGCTAATTTAATGCTTAGATATTTTTAAACAATTAATGGATTAGAAATCCAACTATCTCTCAAGTAATCCAAACAATTTAGAGGAATTTAAAAAAAAATTTAAATCTTTCGTCAAATCTCTCGATCCAATTGTAATTTGAGAAAATTCAAGTACAGTCACAGCTAATTGTGAGAATCACATGAAATAAAGGTTAAACCTCTGAGCTGCCCATACTTTGAAAAAAAAAATTAGTTGTTGCCTATTTGATCAACCCAAAAAAAAGAGGAAAAAAAATTAGCAGTTCTAGCAAAAAATTGGACATTAAAAGTCTACCAAATTATTAATTATGTTTTGTTCTCGTGTTTACATCCAATTCTTTACTGCATGCATACTTTATAAACTTGCATTACGTTAAGTAGGAAGATTAACATTATTATGGGTCATGTGATGCCAATCTAGCACATACATTTGAGTGTGAAAGATCCACATTTTTCCATGCACATGCTCGTAGAAAATCTGATTAGTGCGCAAGACTAAGAAATTCAAGGTAAGAGACAAGTGAGTGGTAAGTGGTAACCACCACTCACTCTGATAATGATATGTTCATTTTAGCCATTTAACTGTTAACTATGACTTATTCCGAAGCTACAGGACCTGGAAACTATGATGAAGCAAATTGGCACCTTCCAGCTGCAGGCTAGTTTTGCCAGCTAATTCATTTGCCAATCTCTCTTCATTTTAAAACTCTATCAAGTGAATTCCTAGAATGAGCTTCGATAAGAATAATAATGCAAGTCGGGGAATTTGATCCCTTGATCTATACTCAAGGAGAGATTTACTGGCCAATTCAGGTCACTCCGTTGGCCTGAATTGGTTATAAATGCAATACTTGAGTCCCACACTTTCAACCTGAGACACCACTAGCTAGGATGAGGAGAACTCTCTGAATATTTTTTTTGTAAGAAATTAAACAATGGTGAAATGAAATGGGACAGCCACAAAATGTGAGGGTCTAAAACTCCAATTACTTCTTAAATTATTAATAAATAAGTTGAAATACGCCAGAGGTAGATAAAAACTGGAGCAGGTTTATCCTACAGGTCCAGCCTACCCCTAATATATATGTTTCAGCCAATTTTTAGTTTTAGATTTCTTCTCATTTTGACCTTGAATATTCCATTGCAGACGTAATTATGTGTATTTGCTTTCTGTTAATGTGAACGGTTAGATACTTATATAACATGGAGTTTGTCCAAGAAAAATAAGATGACAGAAACCTAGAAATATAATGAAGCAAATTTCTACCTTCTTAGCTGGCTAGCTTAGTTGGCTTCATATGCCAAGTTTGTCCTAAGTTCTTATTGTGCGACTCTTATTTGCGCCCATGTGGTTGAACTTGTGCAACTCACAACTTACAGTAGTAGTTTTTTTTTTTTTCCTCCTGTTAAAGCTCTATGTGAAGTGAATCAAAGCTTTAAATATACTCTTTCATCTTACTCAAATAATTAAAACAACAAAAAAAGTGAAGGTGGGGGAGAAATAAATGATAGTACAAGGTAAAGTCATTTATTGACTGATTTACACTTGAAAAAGGTACAAAGAATTTACCATATAAGCAATTAGTAGAGATAGAAAAAAAAAAAAAAAAACTTACTTTAAGAGTAATCAATATAAGGTTGAAGAAAACAACATTATGGGACAATATCCAATTCAATTCATGATGCTGGTTGTTACATGTATGAAGTCACATTCCTTTCCTCTATTTGATTTGATTATATGAATGATAAAAGAAAAGGCACAAGCTTTATACAAAAGCAGGCTAAGACTGAAAGATATTGAAACAGCCATACAAAAACTGATCAGACCAATGGAGGAGGCAAGCAATTCTGAGCCTCATACTGCAACCCTAGCCTCCAACTTTCTTGATGTAAAACAAGAAAGAAACACTAGTTTGGATTCGGGCCATTTACCATTCAAAGAATGAGATGAAACATTACCAAAGAACTGGCTCGTTTGAACCTTAAAATGCAAAATATGGACAAGAATGCTGTGGTATCTAAATCTTCTATCACGATTTATACAAGAACTCTGAAACTTGAATGGCAGAGACTTCTATTCCCCCAGTTTGAGAAACTCTCAAGCCTGGCCTGATTCCTGAATGCTCAATCCTCATAAGACGTCTTGATTTTCCTTTATAATAAGAGAATTGATAAATTCATCATTTGTATTCATCTGGTCCACATTTTTGTCCTGATTGTCGGTTGTCTCTTGTGTATCACTTGAAACTGGATCCCTGTAAGGGAAAGGGATGCATATTGCTGTCAAGAAAAACCAAATGAGATTTGCACCGCTCAGGCCAGCAAGTATCCAATAATAGTGATCCAATCGACTCTGATTCAAGTCATGCTGGAACCAACTCTTTTTCCCCCCTTTCTTGCTAATTTCACCCACCACATAAACCGAGAAAACACTTCCAATGGCTCCCAGACCGGATAATCCAGGATTGAGGTAGACAAGGTACTTTTTCATTGATGGAGGACTCTGATCATTTAAGAATGGAGCAACACTGTTCTCATAAAACGCGTCTAGTCCACCAAGAAGAACAAATTGTGGAACAAGCCAAAAAACAGTCATTGGAATATCCTCATCAGGTTTGTCAACTAAACCATGACTTCTGATCACATGTATCCTTCGAGTTTCAATGATGGAAGCAACAATGCAGCAGGATGCTGAGAATATTGTAGCTAATGCAATGCCAAATGCGGGTGCATACTTTTTTTGGCTGGCTTCTCCTAACCAGTTTGAGATACGGTCATACACCCTTTTAAAAACTGTCTTTGCTGTTCCATACAGCACCAGAAGGATTGAATCAGGGAACTTTAGTATTCCAACCTTGTAATTCATGTGGTTTGCTTGCTCCACAAAGTATGTGTTTCCAATGGCTGTTACTACACCACAAATTATGCAGGTGAACCAAATTGGAAGCATGCGAATTAGGACTTGTCTCTCTTTACTGTGAGTCCTTAATCTGATGACAGCCCTGTCAGAGTACCTAAGGAAAGAAACAAAAGAATGAAAGTAGACAACAGCAAGCAGTACCAGGCCAGGATCAGCAGATTCATTATCTGTTAATTTAAAACAAAGAAATACATTTACGTTTGGAGCAGTCAAACCCGGAGCATATAGGCATTGACAATATGAGACTAAGGCTGAAAGATGAACCGAGCTATATAAGACCACAATGGAGTTTGCCTGGCCCGATAAGAGCTCACTTGACTTAAAAGTCATTTTCACTTAATTAAACAAAGCCTGATCAAGAGTTAGTGTTGGTTAATGTTTTAAGCTAGTTTCAAGCTTGGCTTGATGAGATGAAACTTGAAATTTGCAAATGGTAAATCAAGCTTCTTGAGCTTGGCTTAATAAGAGCTTGTTAATACTCAGCTCAAATCTCAACCAATCCATGTTTGAACACAATTTCAGACTCATTAAAGATATTAAACCACACGCAAAACGATAGTTTGCTCCTTGTTTAGGCTCATTAGCATACCTTGTACATCTAATTTTCACAAACTTGTCAATTGCAGCTTAAAATTGTCAATTTGAATCATGTGTGGATGAGCTAAAAAGTGAAGAACTAACACTAACCACCTGTTCATAGTGAGATGGCATCTAGATTATATCAATCTTTTGAGCAAACTGATTGTATGATGCTTGTAGAGTTAATTTGTATGACAGAGTATTGTTGTCTTGTAAAGAACTTGTTTCTCTGGCGCCAATAGGTCAACCAAATGAAAGACAAAGGGCAAAGCATGAAGAGTGTGTAGAACAAACCTGAGTTTACTGTCCTTGTATCCACAAAAACACAGCGAGAATACAAGTGTTGCCACCAAGGTACAAATTGCTGGAATTCCAAAGCGGAGTTTCCACGGTTTCACATATGGAAGACCAATAAGTACACCAACTGCAACAATGAGCACGAAAATAAAGCCCAATATTCTCAAGTCTGATATGCTGCCTCCATTTCTTTCTTTCTGCCTGTTAACAAGTTCCAACATTGCCTCCAATGGTTGAAATTGAAGTTTCAACAAATCCTCTTCGAGTGTGTCATTAGGCTGCTGCCTTCTGTTTTCAGTAACTGGTGGTGGTGGTGGTGGGTCTTCGTATTCTGTCATGAAATTAACATCATTTTTGCCTTTGTTCCTCCTCATACGAGCGAGCTGAATTACCAATCCCATATTATTTCGTCGCCTGTGAGAAGTAGTATCATGAACTGGGACTGACCTCCTTTCCAGTTGATCCAATGCAAATGTAACTAATGAAACAATATGCCCACTTATTCCAACAGCGACCAACGCCAGACCTGAGTAAAAAAGGGCTTTTTGTGTGTGACCAATACAATTAGGCTGGTATTCATTACAGGTATGTGTTGCCTTGTGCAAAACTGGCGGTGTAGACATTGACAGAAACCCCAAGCCCTGTTCATTTTGAGTGAATTTTTAATTCAACAAAGTCCAATTAAACTAAAAGTAAAAACTCCACTTCAATAATCAAGTAACACATTACACACTAAGTATTTTCTCTGAATTAAAGGAAGGGAGGAAGAACTGATAAAGAACTTGCCAGCAGAAGATCTTACAGTAGAAAAGGCAATACTTGAGAAAAGCAGTATCCAGAAATTATCCACTCCACAATCAACAAATGAGAAAAGAAATAGAGGGACACATTTAGCAAGGCCATTGTACACATTCATTATTCCAGCAGCATGAGTAAATCCAATTTTCCAAACATCTGATAAGTATTTCTGCATAATCCACGTTACATACGTTGCCAACATATCAGCCCATATCAGAACTGCTCGACAAAGAAAGGAATCAGAATTAGTATTTTCGCAGAAAAGGACTAATTTTCGAAACAGAGGAAGTCAAACAAGTATTAAGGTTTTTGGTGAATCTAAGATGAAAAGAAGTACCCATTATTCTCAGAAATGCCATTTTCTTTCGGCGTTATGGATTATCCTTTTTCTCCTGCAATCCAAAGTGCAAGAAAAATAGCATTAGGACAAGGGAAATCAAGCTGAATAATCCTAAAATTTCCAAAACCATATGAAACAGAGTACAGACTTAATTTTTCTTTACCTCCACTTGCTGTCTAGGATGGGGAAAGAAGAACAACAGATTGAGAAACTTGTCTTTAAGAAGTATGGGTTTGATTCAGAAGTCAGTCAACTGGTTTGCTCCTGCGCTTAGATGCTACCCTTTCATTGCCACCTGCAAGTTTTATTTTGTTTGATTAAATATTGGAGTCCAGACCGTGCATGTTGATACCATTTGACTGAAATAAAGCTAAAATAGTACTGCAGAACTGCAGTTACCTGGAAGCTCTCAAGAAAGAATATAGAAATTGAAAGGAAAGCAAAATATTTTTAAATCCGAACCGACGAGTGAAGGCGAATAGCTTCCGGTTCGCGGTTCGGCTGGTTCAGCTCATTTAATCAATTTTTATTTTTTTTAATACTAAAAATTTTTGAATAAACTGATGTGTTTGTTTTAGAAAATCAAAAATTAGTGAAACCAGTTGAACCTTTCAGTTTTTTTCGATTCTTGAGTGAATTTGATCCATTTAATTAAATTTTTGAATTAATTATTGAACCGAATCCAAGATATAACCGATTTGCGAATCGAACCAACTGGTTCAGTCTTATTTTCAAGACATTGAAGGAAAGTACAGAACTGGGCTTGTACTATTTGGATATAAAAAACTTTTTTTTTTGGGATACATTTGAGAGCATTTCTAAATCAGTCCTATCGTTATTTATATGAGTGTCCAAAGTATACATCAATGTGTGTAACTAATGGGAAAAATATTTGTAAAATTTTTTTGAGTACATTTATCGAAAACATGTTAAGGAGAATTGATTTTATATTTCACAATAGACTTGTAAAAAATTCACCAAAATAAAACATAGTGACAAATAATTATATGGTAGGTTTATAATCATAATTTATCGTTGAGATATCAAGATTTAAAGATCCTAAAATCTTAATTTTCACATCTCACATTCTAGAAAAGAATTTTAGAACAATAATTAGAAAAAATATTATTTAGTAAAAAGACATATTAGAAGTGGATAATTATAAAGAGTAGTTTAGAAAGTACCTAAGTGATAATTTTTTTGTTTACAACAAAACCCCTCTTCCTTCATATATAGTATTGGTTAAATTAAAAAAAAAAAATCTGAGTATGATGAAAGCACAAAATATATTTACTTCAATTTCACTATAATTTAAAAGTCACCAATTGTATGGCTTCAAATTTGAACCATCATTACGTTTGTCACTTGCTTAACGAGTTTATTTTTTTTTTTTTGGATTTTTTTCTTTTTTCCTGAATCTAAGGAAAGGCCTCGGTCTTGGAGACAATTTCATGGATTGTTTGTCACTGGTCATTAAATTGGGCCAAGCAATTGAAAGAAAAGGAAAGCGCTTTTAAATGGAAGAGTTGGAGCAAAATCAGCTGGACAGAAATTTAGGATACAAGGCCCAAACGGTTGTCCACCAGAGCCGTTGAGGACCATTGCAACACCTCTAAATTAATGAAGTTAACCCTCTAAGAAAGAGAGTGTCAAAAAGACAAAAAAAATCCCTCTAAGAAAGAGCTTGAGAGCATATAAAGCATGAAAAGCACTTTGTATAATTTGATGGAGCTAATATTATGAAGCAAAATATCAAAAAAGTATATAAAACATGTGTTCAAAGTTGTGTTTATTCTTTTAACTTTCTTTTTACAAATGTTAATCAATGAAGAGCACAAATATTTTAATAGCATTACAATCATAAAAAAGGGTAGGCATTTTACTATTATTACATTGGTAAGAAAATAGGAAGCTAGTAACATGACAATTGGCTGGGTACCAAATTTGATTTATTAATGCATATATTTGAACAAGCTAAATTCAACCTTTAAGTCATTGTAAAAATCATAAATCAATGTATTAGTAGATATATCTCAAGTGGCTAAATTGAAATTTAAGTTATCGCAAAAATTGCTCGTTCGCAGTTACCAAATTAAGGGCCAAATGAAAATGACTTGTACTCCATTTTAAAAAATTAAGAATTATTCGACCTTGCAATTATTCCTTTCTAATTTTAAATGTTAGATATTCAAAACATTACTACATTGGTAAAAAAAATTTTGAAATTTATTGACATGATAATCAATTGTACATCGAAATTCATTCATTAATCAGTATGTTTGAAATGGATAACTTAATTGACATTGCTAAGAAATTGGAATTGTTTACATGATAATCAATTGCATATTAAAATTTATTCATTAATCGATTGGTATGAATTGGCTAACTTAATCGAATTGTTATGGGTAGTTGTAGCTAAAAGAAATGCACTATAAAGAAAAAAATTTTAAAGTGTACTTATAAAGTGGGTATGTAAAAATGTTAGATATTAAAAGCACACGAAAAAAATGTGCATGAGCCTTTAAATCAGCATTAATTGATATGAAAAGACGATAAAGCCCCAAGAAAATCCGGAAAGGACCGTGAAACCGCGATAATTTCCTCTTCCAAAGACCACGCGTGCAATTTTCCCCGCTCAAAAACCCTCTCAAAACCCTCCATCGACCTCCCTCTCCTCCTCCTCCTCCTCCTCCTCCGTTGACCACCATGGAACGGGACCCCTGTCCTGATCGTATACTGGATGATATCGGCGGCGCTTTTGGCATGGGCGCCGTAGGGGGTGGAGCGTTTTACTTTCTCAAAGGCCTAAAGAATTCCCCCAGAGGATCTCGGCTCCTGGGCGCCTACCAAACCGCCCGCATGAAAACGCCAGCAACTGCCGGCGGCTTCGCCGTTTGGGGTGCCTTATTTTCCCTCTCCGACTGCTCCCTCGTCTACCTCCGCCAAAAGGAGGATCCGTGGAACTCCATCATGGCCGGGGCCTTCACGGGGGGGTTCCTACAAATGCGCCAGGGCTTTGCCTCCGCTTCTCGGGCTGCTTTAATTGGTGGAGGTTTATTGGCCCTCATAGAAGGTCTTCAGATCGCTATAAATCGATTCGTTGCAGCTCAACAGCAACAAATTATATATGTTGATCGTAATAACGTGCCTATTGGCATGGGTCATCAGGGTAATCAGGACCTGCGGGAGACAGCCGGTGCTTCCGGCTCAGCGTCCTGGTTTGGAGGGTGGTTTGGTGGTGGTGGAAAGAAAGAGGAAGAAAAGAGTGGAGCCAAGACGGAGATTTTGGAGAGCTTTGATGCTCCTTTGCCACCGACTTTTGAGTTCAAGTGAAATTTCTATGCTTTTTCACTACTCAGTGGGAGTGATCATAACTATGGTTAGTCAAGTACATTCATTCTTTTTGGAGAATAGATTGATATTGAAATTTTACGTCTTACATTGTTGTTAATTTTAATTAATCCTACAAGGATTCTCTGGTAAAGGGAAATTGATTGTTGAGGTTAAATATTTGACACAGTGTTAATTTAGTAGTGACAGATTGGCTTAGTGAGAAATCTTGAATTCTCAATTGAATTAATTTGTTTCTCTTGGTTAATGTTTTTTAATTTAGTTTTTTAATCCTCCTATTGATAGCGTGAATTGTGGTGTATGTTTATCACCGATTTGGCCAGTGCAAGGCAGAGTTGGTGCCATCAATTTGTGGTTGAGACAACTGGTATACATGAAAGAAGTTAGAACTATGTAGATTTGTTCTTTTAACAAGTACAATAAGTTTACAGTTGCTAATGCGAATGATTGTGAGTTGAACATTGGCTTTGTTTGGAAAGCAATTTTCCAAAGCAAAATTCCTATGTTTTCCGTGAACACATTTTCCAATCACCTGTTTACCTCAAATATATCAAATTTCTACAAAAGAAAAAAAAAATCTAGAAAAATGCAATTCAGCCATTGATCCCTGCTGAAACTTTAGTGTTTTCAGAACAGAATTTATCTGAGTCTTGACATTCAAGCTTCTACTAACTGGAAAAAGCAAGAAGCCAAGGAAGTATATCAAGGCCAGAACAAAAATGCAAACTGAAATCACAAGTACATTGTGCTGCCAAACGATTTTAGACAAGAACAATGGCCAGTGCAAAATTATTTGCTCTCAACCAGATGAGTCATGATCCAAAAGCAGTCCACTATAAATACATCTCTTCACGTTACAAGAAGCCTGACAGAAGTTTAATTATCATTTGGGAGTATCTATATCAAGCTTGTGCTTTATACAAGAAAAGAGAGTTGGAAGACGATGTTGAGCTTCCAGACTTCCAGTGAAAATTAAACTTGTAGCTATGGATATAATTCATAAGAAGAAAGAAGATGGTCTTGATGCTACTTACATGTGAATGCAAAGAGATACTCATTCTCCATCTGCAAACTTCTGTTAACAGAACTTGAGTAAACGAATTTTCTCGTTCCCTTCACTCTTCTGCTCATTGACAATTGTCTCAGCTGAATGCAGCAATTCGTTGTTGTACCTCCTTAACAGAATTTCCTCTAGATTTTGAATTTCTGCAAAAAAAAAACAAGGGATCTCCACAAGTTCAAGAGGCTCTCCCACTACAAGTCGCTCAAGGCTGGGAAGGGGATTTGAGCTGGCCTTCCAGTGTATGATGTCCAAGTTTTGACATTTCTAAGAATTTGAGCTTTCTGTATTCTTCATCTTCCATATCCCATATCTTCCCCCCAAAAGGCATGCTGTCGCAATTTAAGTACCTCAAGATATGGCAGCTTCCTAATTGTTGACATTGCCCTCCATGGTAGACCCAACTTATACAGGGTTAGTTTCCTAAGCCAGGAGGGAAAGGTAAATCCCTTAAACTGAATGCGCAACCAACAATCGAACACTTGCCCATGAGGACTTTCTCAATAAACTAAATTGCCTCAGATAGAACTTAGGATAAAGAATCTTAATCCCAATATGTTAAGGATGCAAAATTATACTAGTACACCTATAAATATACGCACTCTATACTTGTTCACCATTTTATCAACCTGCATCACCTGTTCCGAACTATCTGATTATCATTCTAACCGAAATATTTTCCAAATGCGTCAAACAGGTATGTACCGATGTACTTGCGTCTGTGCATGGGCTATGTATTAACTTGAAAATTTGTTTGTTCATTTCATTTTGCATGTAAGATTAATACGGTTAATGGATGGTGGCAACAGCTACTCGAATCTGAATAGATCCAAACACAGATTGTTTTAAGTAGTGTAATTATGTCTATAGTTTGCGGTAATATCCTTCTTATTGCTTTATCGAAGTTAAGGATGGATTTTTAGCTGAAGAAAATCTGAATAAGGAATGTGGATTGCAAGATTTGTATCCAATTAATGTATTTCTTACCTGAGCTTATACCATTAACTTCTCACTGCTCCAACATTTCATCTGGCGAGCTGTTGTTGAAGTTCACGCAGATCAGCTTTTCCACAATCTGGCCTGTCTTGTTTTCCAGTAGTGCCTCTTCTCTATCCGCTAAAAACTGATGATGCATAATTCGTTTTCTACGACTGTATTGTTTGTACTGTTACAATTTTATTGGATAAAGTGTTTGTGCATTTACTGTCAAGTGTCAACCCTTAACTGTGGATGTGATCTCTGGCAAAAATTAATTACTCTGCTTCAGGTTCAGATTCCTTTGCTCTGCTCTTTGGGACTTGCATAATTACATTTGTATACCTATGAACTTTTGAAAGAAGTTTAACAAATAAGGGGCGAAAAGAAAAAGAAAAAGAAAAAACAGTTGGTGCAATGATAACAAACGTAAATAGAAACTACTGACACCCCCCGGCGCAGCTCAGAATATCCATTGAAAGGTAATGGATGTATTTCTTCATTGTACAGAGCTACAACAGAATATAGATACAAGAGTTAATTCAGTCACTGAACAAGGTTAGCTTGCAACATCACTATAACCAATTTGGTTAGGAATCGTCAATGCTACATGAAGCTTGAGCTCTTGTTTAGATGAGACACTATCTTAGAACAATAGAAGTAGTGTTCTTGATAAATGCAAAACCATGTCAGGATCTGGAAAACCAACAGTATTGAGTAGACCTTCATAATTGAGACCAGGGCATATATATGAAGAAAGCTTGACCTTCAGCTCCAAATATTTATCCCTCAAGGACCTGGAAAAAAAAGTAAAGAAATGATAAAGCTGCAATTTAATTGGAAGATCAGTTCAAGATATCCAGTGATTAGCCTTTGTTGTACCAACTGAGCAGAAACATACCAACTTTTGATCATAGGCTTCATTCTCAGAACAATATGGAAAAAGTTTCATGTCTAGCGGTAGTAAATTCTGCACATATTTCATGCTGAAAGGATGTAGATCAAAGCAGGCCAAAGACAACCTTCTCTCAAAATGTTTTTATTTTAAGTGATCACATGGTCAAGTATTCACTTGAATAATTGAAGAAACGTACACTACAAAGTTGTTGGGTTGGATCTAGCTTCATAAACTTATGCAAACTGTACACCATCTGATAATCGAGTTCAACAGACTTAGTAAGATATGAGATGCTTAAAGATAAAACTGACTTTTCCTAAACTTGGGAGATGGAAGGATTAGATAGCATGAAGTACGAGGAAGTTGTATCAATTTTTCATTGGACAAGATTTATATCTTCACTTCTGAAGCTTGGGACAAGTTTCTGGTTAGTTCCTTGTCCATGTTATGTACTCTCATAATAAGCTGAGGAATTTCTTATCCATAGCTATCTATACTCATAAAAAAGTGTGTTGGATGAATTATTATTTTGGTGTTTCTTACTTTTTAGATCTACCTAATATACTCTTAATTATAAAGATGATGTACTGGACCTTAGCATAATCTACCTAATGTACCTTAACATAATGCTTACTATAATGGACAAATAAGTCATTAGAGCATTAAATGCTAAATCTTTGAAAAATCATTGCGAAACTTTCATATATCATAGTAGAAGTCCACTCAATGAAGATCTTCTTCTTGTGTCAAGCTAGAACAGTAATGATACAGAAATACTTAGTGTAAGGATTTACTTGTATGATATCTGTATCATACCCCGGCGAGATTTTGTGAATAGAGAGTAGCTAGCAACTATTAATTGAAACAAAAGCAACAATACAAAACTTTCTTGACCTTAAAGCTTTAAACTTCATCCTAACATCATTGTGTTGCCAATTACTTCCTAGAGATAACAAATCCTTTTTCTGTCAATGTTGGTCAAAACCAATAATGATCTCCAAGCTTTTATATAGTTAAGCATGGCGGTGGGGGTCCAGTCGAGTTGCTCAGCAGGAGCTCAGTCAAAGTTCAACTCAAGCTCGATCTAATCGAGTCGAATTTGAGCATTTACATATTCTGTTCAAAAGCTCATTGAGCTTTTCGAGCTTCATATTTATATATTCTTATATTTTTATTTTTTATTTTTTATTTTTATAATTATTAAATTACCTAGAAACCTATATTCTTAAAATAATTAACACATCTTACCACTTGAGCTCAAGCTTGATCTCAATCTCAATTTGCTTTTTGAGCGAGCTTGACCTCGATCTCGATCTCCAGCACCTTATATTTTACACAAGTCGAGTTTGAGCTTAAAAGTTGAAAGTTCGTCGAACTCGTCGACCACGGGCATATGGGAGTTCACTTTGATGGAAGACCAGCAGCATAACAGCTACGAGTTCGCTTAGATGGGAGCTCACCAGCTTGAAGGCAGTATAATGTTTAGCTGGCATAACAGTGAAAAAGATATTTGAGAAGTCAAAACCATTTATGCAGATTCGATAAGGCAGAAAAGATTAACCTTTGTCTTAAATATCAAAATCTACCAACATGAAACCCAAAAAAAAAAAAAAAAAAACTTAAAAAAAGGCTTGTCATTTTCATACAAGGGGAAGTCATAAACTTTTCTTCGAAAATAAAATTTTGGATTGAGCAAGGAGAAAAATGAACTAAACTTTGTTAATTTGGCATTTTAACAGGAACAATGATAACTAATTTTTATCATTTATACTTGCTTTGAAGCGAATGTAGCTCAAATTCTACAATTTAGATGGTTTCCATCCAAAGTACATATCAATTCATAGCCAAATGGGCTTATGTGGACTTATTATTATTATTATTTTTTTAAAAATCTAGGATGTTTTCTAAACCTTTGCACAGACCACAAGGGTTTACTGGATTTTACACTACTTGTAAATGTATCTGAATTGCTTCAAGGCAAATGTTTGAAGTGATGAAGAAATTTGTGTGTGTGTGTGTGTGTATGATTGTCTTTATCAGTTAAAGAAGTAATAGAACTTAATGTATGCAATCTTTTGTCATTTAATGCTTTTAATCATCCTAATCTTTTTTTTTTAATGCACCAATGATATAGACAAGATTTTACTTGATTCTACCATTTATTGTAACAAAGTTTAGACAATCTTTGATGCTAGAAATTGCTTTTGCAATTGAAGATTGATTCATAAAGAGATTAGTTTCTCAAGGGAAAAGGTGGGAAAAGGATTAAAAAAACAAAAAAAAGAACTGCTGCAGAGAGTTTGAAAATTTTCCCATATAGATTTTATTTAGTATAAAGATGCAGGAAGTTATGAGAACCAAATATAAAACATTCCTGCTTCTCTGCACCAATATATGTTGTAGCATGGAAGTCGTCAAAGAAGACAAGACCTTCAGGAAAGACTTTCTTTGGAACAAAATGAAAAGCTAAGTGAAACAATAAAGCTATAAATCACTGTCAGTTTCAGATAATATTGATTGTGGTGCCTATGCACTGAAAAGAACATTTCAAACCAGAAAACGAGTTGAGTGTAACACTGATTAAGTATCAATTTCCGGGATACCACATCAATTCAGAGAGCTCTTGCAGACTGATAGTGAAGAATGCAGGGGAATGTTAAGAATTCTTCTCTCTTTAAAAGAAATGTTAACCAGAGTTTATCTAATTGATCAGTCATTTTAGATGCAATCATCGATCATGTGTTGGGAGCTGATGTTGAATTTCTTATCTTAGAGTCGGCAATAAAATTAATGAGATGATAATAAGCTGGTCAGAACTAGCAAAAGAAAAACAGTTTTGCCAATTATTGCACTTCCAGAATCCTCATGCTCATAACAAAAGACCATTCCGACTTGCTTTCGTGGATGGTTTCACACTGTCGCGGTTATCAATGCTAAATAACGTTCATAACTTAAAGCTTCTCTCAGGTACAGAAGTATTCATCATCCTAGACTGAGGAAGTAAAATGAAATGTATGAATTAGGTCCTTAGAGCAAAAACCCAACTTTATTCATATCAGTGAAACTAGAAGCTATGAATATTTGAGCATGAGAAGGAATGAACAGGGATCTACATTTACTAGCAAGTGAATAAGCGAAGAAGAACTATACCGAAATGAAATCTTTTATTAGCCAATATTCTAGTGAAAAATCCATCATCTGAAACTATATAGTAACAACAATCCTATGATGTGATGGTAAATGATATCCTGCTTCAGGTCCCCTCAGGGAAAGTAAAAGTGAGAACTCAAATTCAATTTAATCAAAGAAACCATATGATCTTTTTTCAGTGGTAGAAGCTATTATCATGACTGATTAGAAGAAAAGTATACAAGTGCTGTAAACTTACGTCCAAGAACTTCCATCAGTATGTGGAGTATGTGGTTAGTACTTCAAGTTCCTCGTTTCCCATATCCTGTTGATCTTTGAGGATTTGCAAGGCAGAACTCGACTTGGTTGCTGCAGCCATGTAAGCGAATGATTGTCAAGGTAGAAATTTGGCCAAAAATTGAAGGGATCTCCTTAAGTCTGGAAAAATCTCCTACGACAAGCTGCTGAAGGCAGGTAAATGATTCAGCGGAGACATTCCATTCTTCAATTTCTGAACTGGATAATTCTAAGAATTTCAGGTTCAAGAACTGCTCATCGTCCACTTCCCACCTTTGTCCTGGAAAGGCTTGTTCTCCCACCAGTGGTACTGGTTGGACTATTCTTGCTTGGAATTGCTAATTCTTTTGGGTTGGGTGAAATTGTGCATTTAATTGGCCATCTGGAGCCACATGTTGGGAATCTGGGGGAACTATAATACTGCATTGGTTTGCTTGGCTGAGTAGCTGTGTTTATTGCGTTGTTACTGTCCCTTGCTGCACTACTATTGCTGCATATGAGTTAGCAATTTTTCTTGGCCAACTGGAGCCGTTTATTGAGATTTTAAATGTGTTGCAATGCTCTGATTATTTGTTCGATTTGGAGATGACATTTTGACCATCACATTGCTTGGGGATATTGCTTGAATTGCTGGATAACTCGCTGGGGTTTCTCTTGAGATTTTAGTTGAGATATTTCTGAATTGCTTGTTGATTACTTGCTGGAACTCTTTTGTTTGCTATTGGCTGGGTTACTACTGGGAGATTTTTGCTTTGTCAATTGCTGGTTTCTATACTTGTTGGATTTTCTGTTGCCTTGAACTTACTTTGGGGGAAATGGTGAGACCGAAATCCTCCTCTAGGTCTAGGACCTTTCAGTCTCAACCCCCTCCACAAGCCTCTATTCCTGTCAACTCACCTACCAACCTACCCTCCTCTTCTAGTGTTCGAACCCGTTTGGGTAGGGATAGGGGTGCTCAGGTAGATGCACCTGTTCACTTTGGGGGGCACTTAACATTTACCAGACCCGCCGATCGGCAGAGATACGCTAAGGTCTGCGAGAGGCGTATAATATCCTGTAAGTCTTGTCATAGACTCTCTCTAACTGCCCTGGGTATACGGGAGGAGGTTGAGCAAATGTTCACAGCCATTGGGTGGCGCCCATATTTCCATATTTCTTGTCCCGCTTTTGTTGAGCTGATCCGGGAGTTTTACTTCACCTTTGAGTTCGAATTACCTACGAGATACACGGGTGAAACACCGAATGTCATTCATTTCCGGCTCATGGGTCGAGAATTCAATTTCTCCATTACTCAATTCAATCTGGCATTTGGGTTTATCACTAGAGAGTATGCTGAGACTAGGGAATATGCGGAGAGTGCCTGTGACTACGTAGAGCCTTTCCTCTCCCACTACCATGATGTATGGGAGGACATGTCCGTCGATAGGCAACGCTACGATCCTTCCCGGTCCAGGAGCTCCTTTCTTAAGGACCTAGCGCCCGCTATGTTCAGCGATTCTTAGCTTATAGCTACTCGGGGCGCAAGGACAGCTCCGGTATACTCTCTCGGCCCGAATTCTTCTTTCTCTGGAGTATGAAGAACAATATCAAGGTGAACTTGGGATGTTGGTTGGCCGCACAGTTCAAGACGGTCTTGACCAAGAAGAACAAACCACTGATCCTTGAGTCCTACATCACTCACTTGGCGACCCAGTTGGGAGTTCTTAACCTGGATGACCACGACCTCCATTTGGCATTTGAGATGGAGCACTTGGACGTAGTTTGCTTAGAGAAAATGGGGGTCGTCGAGCGTCTGCCAGATGGTTTTCACCAGTTTACCCGTCCGGGACCACCTCGAGCCCCGGGTGCACACCATTCGGCCCGGGCAGGGCCATCTTCATTCCCTGGGTCGGCCGCGGACACTGCTGGGCCGTCTACCTCTACTTCTGCGCCACCTCCACCACCTGGGACCGATGATTGGCAGCATCTCAGGGAGCAGGTTCAGGATTTGCAGGCCCGGATGACCAACGTCGACGCCAATGTTGCCGGAATGGCACAGAATTTGGCGCAGTTTCTGATGCATACAGGCTTTGCACCTCCGTTTCCACCTCGCCCTCCGCTTTGACCCGATTTCAGGGACGTTTGGTTGTTTCCCCTCTCACTTTTGCTTCACTTTTGGTTTTTATTTGTCACATTGAGGACAATGTGTCCTATAGGTGTGGGGGGGATCTAAAGTTATGCTAGTGTGTTCCGTCTTTAGTAGTTTTCAGTTTTCAGCTTTTCATTTTAGTAGTTTTTAGTGTTTTTAGTTCTTGGTATTACTTTTTTTTTAGTTTTTAGTTTTGGGTTTTAGTTTTTAGTCGTTAGTCGTTTTTATTTTCTATTTGTTCATTCTCCTTCACTCTTGTTGGTTAATGTAAAAAAAAAAAGGGGAACAAGAAAAAGAAAAAGGGAAAGAAAAGTGAGTTTTTAGTTTTTAGTAGTTTTTCGTAGTTTTATTTTTAGTTGCTTATGTTCCGTTCTTTCTTCTTGGTGCTTGTCTTCCATGTGAATGCCAATATTGAGGTGTGGAATTATTGACTCCGAGTTTAATCTTGCCAAGTTTTTAAAATACAAAGGTATCGGGTTAATGTGGTTGGATTCGAGATGTCTCCTTGGTGAATATCGGACTGCTTAATTCTTTTGATTTCTTTGTTAATTTTTCTAGGCATTGGGAATGACTGTTGGCATTTTAATGTGAACTGGTCCAATATTGACTCCAGTTCTCTATGTTTGGCAATAATGAGGCGAGCCGCTCCTATTTTAGGTTCTTAGTGTTGATATTATGTGTTGCTGGGTTTGCTTGGCTGTGAATAATCTGGACTGTACTCCGCTATGAGTTACTACTGAGTAACCGGGGTTCGGCACCTAAAAGTGTCGTTTCTCGCGTCAAAAGGTGGTACTTTATATGAGTACGTGGTTGTATAGCGGTAGGAGCTGAGTAACCGGGCTCCTTCATCTAAAAATGTTGGAGTTCGCGTCAAAAGGCTCCGGCGGCTAGAGACTAAGTCTTCTTGGAAAAAGAACTAAACAAAAAAAAAAAAACAAAGAAAAGAAGAAAAGAAGAAAAAAAAACAGAGAGTAAATAATAGGGAAGCTTGCTGGTTTATGGACTTGATATGGGAACTTGTGTGAATATTTGGACCATTAGCTGATAAATGCTGAGTGTCATTCCTTTTCCTTAGTTTAGTTAATTCAGAAATTAAAGGAGTCTGTGGTTTAGAGACTAACTGGGGGATGCTTCTCGGATTTTAACTACTAGTGCCCGATATATGATTTTCTCTTGAATACCTTGGCAATTTGGTAGATTGGGCAATGACCACTATCAGTTTTTGGTGTCTGTCTACTTTTCTTATGCTTGAGGACAAGCATGGTTTAGGTGTGGGGGAATTGATAGGTCGCAATTTATTCATTTATTTTATTATTAATTCCTCCCATTACCTGACTTGATGTGGGTTTATTTGCTGGATTCTAGTCATTTTTAGTATTTTGCAATTATTTCAGGGAGTAGAACGAAAATACGATAACAAGGGCCAAGTTTGACAGAAAAGATGTCCAAGCCACAGAGCTTATTCCAGGGATATTTTTGGCAAAGAGGATATGATGCCCATTTTGGTAATTTCCGCAAAAAAGGACGGACGGAGGGATTCTTCCTCCTGCTGGTGAGCCGCCGCAATAAGAAGGGAGAGCTCTTTGGGGGGGCTGAATTTTTAGCAGAGAATTGTTAGCTTTTGAGCTTGGAGCCTTGGACTTTTCTTTTTGACTTTTCTTAGTTTCTTTGAATCCTGCGCATGGCAGGAACAAGGAAGAATTATTTCCTTTGACTTTTCCTTTAGCTTATTGTAGCTTCTGGCTCCACGCATGTGGGGAGCAAAAATTGATAGCCTGCTTTCTTTGACTTTTCTTTCTGGCATCTTGTGAATGACTTTGCACTACGAATGCTAGCAACAACTACAAAGCTTCAATTGTTACCGCGCTTTTCATTTGTTCTCCAATTGTTCGACGAATTGCAACTCCCCGAAACGCAGGCAATGGCCGCTGCTCTCTCTACAATTTTCCGCGGGCTTAGTTCACCCAATATGAGCTAATCCCCTCATTCTAGTCAAGAAACGACGGATGCTTTGGATCACCTGAAAATTGTGAGATCGATTTAATTTAATCTTTCCCTCTTATTTATTGGTATTCGTGTATTCCCTGATTACTATGCTTATGGTTATTTAATTAATTGATTGTCTTGGATCCGGATGATTAGTTGATTGGGTAATCTATTGTTAATTGGGGTATTAAATCCGTAATTGTTTAATTACCTCAAAATAGTGACACCTGGCACGATTAGATTCGTGTCAGGGGAATACACGGGCTAATCTAAAATAACCCTGGTAGTGCGTTATTTGGTTAGAATAGGGCTCCTCTAATACGTAAGGCAATTGGGGAATTAAATTCTACGGGCGTACTTAGGATTATTCCTCAATTAGAGCAGTGATTAACGGGCGTACCTTGATCACCGACACAGTAAGGAGGGGTTGACTGCCATCGTTTGTTTGGTAGTTATAACCTATTTATTGGTAGATAAGTGGGATTGCTTTGCATCAATGATCAATTAGGTGAACCATTGCTGAAGTTATTTCTTGGCTAGATCTTTAGTTAACATTTCCTTGATTGGAGCGGATTGCCATTTGACTTTTAATTGCCTACTTTATTTTATTTTATTTTTGATTGTTTCCTTATTTTAATTAATTTAGGCCTTTAATTATTGTTATCCTGAGTTCAGTAAATTGTGGTTTAATTCCTAATTAATTATTTATTTTTACTTTCTCATTTGAATTTATTTAATTATCGTCGTTCCTACAAAATCACCCCCTGTGTTACTTTGGATTTCTTAAGAAACAAATATACCCAGTCTCTGTGGATACGACCCTACTTGCCCTGTCTACAAATTCCTAATCATTTGTGAAAAGGAATAACCATTCCATTCGGGTATATCGGATCAAGCAAACTCTTCGGGAACAGGGTGAATCAAGTAACCCATTGCACACCTAGAGTCCCTGCTCCAGTACTTGGAATTGGGTTTTGGTCATTTTAACTGGCAATTAAGTTTAATTTTTTATTGCACAGGCTGACGACCTGTCAATTTTTGGCGCCGTTGCGGGACTGGCGTTATTATTTGTTTCTTTTTAAATTCAATTTTGTCCTAATTTTCTGGTTTCTTCTAAGTATGCCTCGATCTTGTCGCACAGGTGATTTGGTTTTTGATCCTGAGGTAGAGA